CGCCGGCGGGCGGCAGCCCTCGCCCGGGACCTTCCAGCGGGCGCAGGGGTGAGTGCAGACGTCTTCCCGACCCGGGACCCGCGTCCCCAGCCGCCCGCCCGGCCTAGCGCCGCGGCAGTGACCCTCGGGCGGGCAGAGGCCCGCGGGACCGCGGTGTCGCCCTGGCCGGACCCTGTCCTTATCGCCTCAGGACCTTGCTGCCCCTTTTGTCCCCAAGGAGACCCAGGGGGACCAGCACCGTCTCCCGCCAGTGTTTTCGGGCCAGCCTCCTCACGGTTTCTAGTTCGGTCCGGTTTTGCGGCCGAAGCCTGACTTTTCTGATTAGAGAGAGTTGAGGGTTTGGGAGGTCACAGCCCTGAGCTGGAACCCTGGGCTTTGCGAGTGCTCTTCATTCATCCGTCCCACTAGGCCCTGACCCCTGCAGTGTGACCTTGAGCCTGCGGTGTTTTAAAGTAGCTTTCTGATTTGTTTTGTGGGAAATACGTGTCCGAAAAGACAGGCCAGTGGTGGCATCCCGGGGGGTGGCACCCGCGGGAGGCTGCGGACCTCCAGGGAGGCCCTGTTAGTCTGTGCGCATCTTGCTGCAGGTGCTCGCTGGCGGTTGCTCGGCGCGTTTCCTTCCCGGGGCCCGGAATCTGGAGGAAAGCCCAGGATCCTGATGATCCGGAGCTCCCCTTCTAGGGAGAAAGAAACCCCTGGCCGCGGCCCACGAAGTTAGGGCAAGGTGCATTCTCCAGGGAAGAGCACGCTTCCAAAAGTCTCTAAACTGCTCATTTAAAAAGCGTTCCCAAACGTTAGACCGGTTGTATCCAGGCTTCCCACTCCTTGGAAGACGGAGTGATGAATGCTTTTTCTCCCTGGATGAAAAACACTTGTTTCCTTGTCAATTCTGTTACCTAATGAGATCTCCAAAGAAAACCCCGTAGGAAAATTAGGACGACTGAGCTGTGCTTAGCACCCTTTCCCCGTGTAATTAAGTGCAGTTTGGGAAACCTGTTACCTCCTGGGTTTCAAAGGCTTGTAAATTGGTTTTGCTATTTTTTTCCCAAGAGGAAATTGTGTGCCCTCTCTTTTCCTCTCTGATAGGGCTGCCTCATTTCGGATTACAGAGTTTAGCGGTCGTTTCCCTTCTGGCGTTGAAACTTTTCTGTAGGTTCATAACCTTATTTTCATTAATACAGATTTTTTTTTTCAGAAGTTTTAGTGACATTTCTTAAAAACTAAAGTTAACTCAGGATCACTATACTCTTGATGTTCTGATACAGCCATTTTTAGAGTCTAGTTGCTGTGAAAGATCCGAAACCTATTAAGAACCACAAACGCTGGACCAGCAGGTGGCGTGGTGATTAGGACACTGGACACTCCCACATGCCAAACCATGGTTCAAGTCCTGGACCTGGTAGCTTGCTTTCTCACTTTCCCTCTCTGAGTGTGTGTCTCTCCCTGGTCAAATTAAAAATAAAAAAAAAAAGAATAAATAAAATTAAGTAATTCTTAAAAAAAGAAAAAAACCCACAAACTAGATCCACACAGTAAGTGATAAACAACTGGAGGTTTTGCCTTGCAAGTTGGAGAATTATATAAATCTTGCAGTTGCAGTCAGTTTGACCAAGTTGTTTCAGTGACTTCCTATTTTCTGGGTTCCAGTGTTCTAAATGGAAAGTGAGAAACTTGAGTCATTGTGACCCCAAACTGGTACACTATCCACCGTTGGTATGTGACTTGATTCTAGGTGATAGGTGAATAAGAATTTTTTGCAGTAATTGTAAACGTAATTATTACATGTTATGTTACTGATTTATATCTATTTATACGTATATGTAAATGTATGTAAATACACATACACCAAGTGTATAGTTTAAGGTCATGAATAAAATACATTTATTTAAGATTTTTAAAAGTTGGCGGTGTAATGATTACATTGGACTCCCACGTGGGCAATCATAGTTCGAGTCTCAGACTGGCAACTTGAAACTCAGGCCAGTATGTATGCTTGAGTGCCCAAAATCCTGAGAGGAAAGTGGAGAAGGGATTGCTGGAACCCCCCAACCCCCAAGGGGTTATTTCCCGCTTTCTGTCTCTGGAGAGCGCAGGCACCCTATAACAAAAATCTCTCAAAAAAAAAAGAACGAAAAGAAAATTTGAGTAAGAGTTAATATACTGTGAATATAAAGAAGAAAAATGGAATTGGTAAGTAAGTTACTGATGCTTGGGAACCACTGGACTTAGCCGAAATCATCTCTGATTCTGAAAGAGACTTTTATCATTGGCTATATAACAGAGAATCAGGTACTGGCTGCCTACTAGATTCTAAGTGACAGGATTTCTAGAGTTAACATCATCTTAACCCCAAATTGGCTTATTTCTTGCCATAATATTTTACCAAAAATGCCGTGGTTTAGTGAGGAGGGAGTGACATTTTTGTACTGTTTTACATAAGCAAAATCTCTATAATCAGGACAGTACGGTGTTGAATCTTAGTAGAGAAACTCTGTTTACTTTTTAAATTCTGGTAATTCAGCTCCAGGAGAATTCGACTGTCCCAGAAGTTGACTTTTCAGTATCAGCCTTAATGTTCAAGTCTGTGACCTTCGGCAAACTCAGAGATTCTCAGATGTTGCAATGGAATGAAATGTTGAGACCTGTGAGTTGGAGTAGTTGGAAAGTTAATAAGGAGACTGAAATGCAATGAAGGGAATGCAGAGAACAGCAGATTTAAAGAGATAATGTGGTTTTAGCAATTTGTATCTCCTCATTAGAATTAAATTTATATTGTCTCAAGTCTGTAATCCTTTTGAGACAGCTCATTTTTGGTGTTAGATCTGAGTATAAGCTTTTATTTTGCTTCAGATACACACAAGTATTAGAGGAGCATCTCGTCCAGAACGATGCATCAAAATTGGTAGTAGAGGTTTCCGCAGGGACCGTGGGTGAGTGAGCCTAGGATCAGATGGGATATGTCATTTTCTCTGTTCTTGTGTGCTGTGTACCATATGCAATTATTCCTGGCTCAAATTTCAGACATTTTAAGTGAATGCAGATTTATTCAAAATAGTTTTTCCTCCATGACATGTATGTGTATAGAGCCCTGTCTGTGGGACTGTAATTGGTGGTAAGCTTGTTAATTTTTTCTTTATTCTTTTATTGGTTTCTTAAAGTCCTGTGTCTTTGTGATGTATCATTTGGAGAATTTCCAACAATGAATCCCTAATACTGGTACCATCTAGTTTCTCAATTAGCCCCCTGTTTTTCTCCCCCAGGGATAAAAGTGCCTCTAATTCCAGCACATGCACACTGAAACAAGTTAAAGGATTTAATATGAAGCACAGGAGCAGATAGTGCCAAATAGCAAGCAGTAGTTGGTACACATTTGTGAGTAAAAATTTTCTCTTTTGGCTCTCGTTTCTAAATCTTTAAATCATCTGCATGCTAAATCATTAAAATTCAGACATTTTGGTAAAGAGTAAAAGAAACTAGCTAGCAGTTGATATCAAACCAGTTGTCAGGGCTCTCCCAAGCATCTCAGTGTGGTAGAGCTTACGGTGTAGAAATTCTCTCTGACATGAAGTTTACCGTACATTCCGAGGAGTGGTAAACACGTGTGTACTGTCTCTTAATTTTTTTACTGCCCTTAGTTTATTTCTTTTTTATGAAACTATTACTCATCAAATTTTTAGGCTACCTCAGATATGTTTACTTTTATCCCTGTGTTCTCTCTATGGTTTCTTTATTTGTACTTGATCTTCAAAAAGGTTTTTCTTCCTCCTTTGGAATGCAATGATTAGAGGACTTTTATGGCAGAGGGTTTTTTTTTTTTTAAATATTATTTAACATTCATATAACACTGCAATCATATAATAGTGACTATACTTAAAATTGTCTTTGATTTTCAAAGTAACTTTGTTTAGGACAAATCTCGAAATTGATTTCTTAAAACAAGCCCCAAGCCATTTTTAAGTCCAAAAATTTAAGTAGCTATTTACTTTTACACATAGTTTTCTTGTGAAATGAATTGTTCAAATACTGATTTTTATTCTTTCTTTTTTACAGCTGGAAAAGCAGTGTCCGTGTTGTTATGTACACCTCCAAAAAAAGTTCAGATCTGTAGGGGAATTGTTGTGTAAAGTAAACTGAACTACAGGGTAGCAGGATTGTAGTAGCTATTGTAGACGTGTATTTACTGTTAAAATGAGTAAACGAACAAGCAGTGACTCACCACTAGGAAGGTCAGTGACATTTTATTCAGTTGAGCTGGTATTATAGGTTTGAGAGAGTGGCTTTTCAGCTGATTGCCTCAGCTAACCATCCTCTTATACTTTCATCATTGGTGTTTTGTATTTGGGGGCAACGTTTTTTTCTACTGCATTTCTCTGTGGTCATGGGTCCCTCTCCAGCTTAGAAGGTTACTCAATGCATTTGTACTGTCTTTAACAAGAAAAGCATATTATGCTTTTGCACACAAATACGATAAATAACAAAATAATAGTGTAAAACTTTCTCTCAAAATGTGAACGCACATGTTAAGAATTTATTAATGCAGATTCTGTATTTGGCATTCATTGCATCTCAGTCATGAGATATATGTTCAGTAAGTGAAGTTTTAGTTTGTATGATGTGATTTTTTTTCAGGGAGTTGTTGTTTTGTATTGTTTTGTTTTTAGTAAATTCAAAACTAACCTTGCTTACCTTTTGAGTCTGATGTTTATCATTTGAAGTTTTTTGTTTTCTTTTCATGCATGACAGCAATTTCTGATTTCATTTTTATAAAGTGCAGCAGCTTTCCCTCCCATGCGCAAGTTGAAAAGTTTAAATTTCAGACATTTCTGAGTTATAAGCAGCATGCATTTCTGTTCTGCAAAGAGAGTATGTATGTGTGTGTCTACATTTCTGTTGCAGTTCTGTAGTAATTCAAATAAATTGCTCCTAAGCGATATCCTCAAGGTACAATTTCTAGTGATAAGAGAGCATTTTGTTGAGGAAATACATTTTCTTTCATCTTTTGGGGTTTTTTCCTTTGTATCTACTTATTACTCACAACTGAGAAGTTTCCTTTGACTCCTTTTAGAAGGTGTTGTCATCTAACCTCAAATGTAGAGGAGACTGATATTTTCGTGGTCAGTCACACCTGTCTTTAAATGTACCTTCCACAGGGTGAGTGGGGCAGCATTTCCTTCTCCCACTGCTGCTGAGATGGCGGAAATTAGTCGAATTCAGTATGAAATGGAATACACCGAAGGCATTAGTCAGCGAATGAGGGTTCCAGAAAAATTAAAAGTAGCACCACCAAATGCTGACCTGGAACAAGGATTCCAAGAAGGAGTTCCAAATGCTAGTGTGATAATGCAGGTTCCAGAGAGGATTGTTGTAGCAGGTATTTCATATTTGTTTAGAAAGTTGCCTGATAAATTTATGTTGCATATATTTTTATGAAAATTTATGGGTTTTTCAAAAATATTATTTAGAAAAGAAGTTACAAAATATAACTTACATTTTCAAATTTCAGTTCATTACAGTAGTTTGAATTTCAAACAAACAGTAGGTTTTCTGTTTTTGTTTGCTAATTTGCCAGAGGGCCTGTGTGCTTGCCAGGAGAGAGAGAAAGTGAGAAAGCAACCCCCGTGAGAGATGGTCATTCCACAGACCCTTCTCCTCCATCTCTCTCTTCGACATTCTGGGCATACATACACAGACACACACACACACACACACACACACACACACACACACTCCTGATGTGTTTTTCAAGCCTCCAGGTCTGGGACTTGAACCACATGGACAGCCATGTGGGATCCAGCCATCCTGACCACCATGCCACTGGCTGTCCCCAAATAGTAGTTTTTAATAATTCAACTAATTTTTAAAATTTTACAAACATAAACTATATAGGTTTTTAAGGGTGTTTTTAATAAGTTTTGATAAATGCACACCTATGTAGCCACTATTAACATCATCCAGGTGCAGAAATTTCTCTAACCCAAAAGGTCCCCTCTGTGGTAGCCTTTCTCAGTCTCTATTCCTCAACTCTAGCCAACCATAATTTCCGTTCTGTAACCAGAGATTAGAATTATCTTTCTTAAAGTTTCGTATAAATGAAATCATACAGTATATACTCTTTTGTCTAGCTTCTTTTGTTTAGCATAATGTTTTTGTGATTAGTCCATTTAATTGCAAGTAACAATTGCTCATTATTGAGTAATATTCTACTTTGCTGATACACTGTAATTTCTTCAGCCATTCATCTGTTGATGGACATTTGAATTGTTTCTTGTTTTGGGCTATTAGGAATAAAGTTGCTGTGCATATTCAGATTCAGACATTAGTGAGCTCATATATTTTCATATCTCTATTAATAGAATCACATGATTGAAAAGCTGCCAACTTATTTTCTAGATTATTGTACTGTGTTACATTCTCATCAGTGTTGTATGAGAGTTTTAGTTGTTCCACATCTTATCACTATTTTATATTGAATGTTTTTCATTTTAGCCATTCAGTAGATGTGGGGTGGCATTTCATTGTGATTTTATTGTGTTCTATTTCCCTGATGAGTAATAATTTTGAATGTCTGCTCATATGTTTTTTTGGCCATTTATATATCTTGTTTACAATGTATCCATATGTGTTGCCAGATTGAAAACTTGGATGTTACAAGAATTCTTTATATATTCTGGACACCAATTTTTGGTTATATATGTAGGTATTGTGTAATTTCTTATTATTTCTCAACTGCTTCAATAGATATTAGTGAAGTATCAGTTCTTATGTTGAAAGTGAAGTTTGAAAAAAACGAATGCTTGTAAGACAGGTTAATAATACAAAAGCAGGGGACCAGCAGTTAGCGTATTGGCTATGTCGCTGGACTCCCACATAGTCGACTGCGGTTCGCGTCCCAGACCCGGTGGCTTAAACTCAAGCCGGGCGCGTGTGCGTGCGTGCCCAAGATCCCGAGAGGAGAATGGAGGAGAAGGGATTGCGATGTGGCCATCCCCCCTGGGGGGTGATTTCTCGCTTTCTGTCTCTCTGTCTCTCTCTGTCTGTCTGGCGAGCGCACGTGCCCTATAGCAAAAACCTCTCCAAAAAAAAGAGAAAAAAATAATAATACAAAAGTGGAAGAATGTGAATATATTTTAACAAAACCATCATTTTTAAAAATCTTTTCTTTGGTTTTTGTTTTGTTTTCTCCTAGGAAATAATGAAGACACTTCATTTTCAAGACCAGCAGATCTTGATCTTATTCAGTCAACTCCCTTTAAACCTCTGGCACTAAAAACACCACCTCGTGTTCTCACACTAAGTGAAAGACCACTAGATTTTCTGGATTTAGAAAGACCACCTCCAACCCCTCAAAATGAAGAAGTAAGTTGAATTTTAACATCAGCTGAATTTGAAGTATGTAGACAAAAATAAAAGTTAAAGAGAAGCCGATAGGCTGTAAGTCATATTATTAGTGATATGTAGCACAATCATACCATGGAACATTGATTAATAGTAATCAGTGAATTAGTAGTAATCAATTACAGAATTAATAGTAATCAATGGTCCATGGAAAGATTGTGCTACATATTGCTGATAATATGATTTATAAATACCCTCATTTTTTTATTTGTTTGCTTAATTTAAATTGTATATTTCAGGGAAATGAAAAATGTGTGGAAAGTTTTTTGGAAGGTCTTGAAGGATAGCAATAAAAGCTTAGGTGTTACATCTTAAATACAGAAAAGTTGGGACGCTTAGCAGTTAGAGAAAATGAATGCATCATTTTGTTATAAAATTGAGCAAAGAAAGCTCCTTTTCCCTAGATGCTACTCATTCTTGCTTCTTGATGAAAGATTTCTACTGAGTTAGCCACTGTACCACATAATGTGAATACCCTGCTGACCTAAATATAGTAGCATGGACTAGTAAGGTGTTAGAGCAGAGTTTAAATCTTATCTCTGTCCTTGAGTTAGAGCCAGCTTTTTTAATCTTTCTGTGATGACTTTAGTTAGTTGCATCTTCATTTTAGCTTCCGAACTGCTAACACATGTAGGTTTTTATTGATAACAGTACTTCTTACGTCTGGTTTTATTGATAACAGTACTTCCTACGTTTGGTTTCATTTTTCTCATGTGTAGTCCTTTCAGAAGACAGTGAAGTATCTACCTAATTTAAGTCAATGCAGTTTCCTAGGACTAGGCGTGGCATTTTTTTAGATCATAAGTTTCTCCTGCAATAATTGAGGTGATAATGCTCAGAGGTGCCAGTTTGGACATTCTAGGTATTTGCATGGGGAAAAGCACTATGTTTGAGCATTTATATTGCAAAAAAGGCACTAAGATAACTTGCAGAAAATTATTTAACAAACATTTTTTGAGCTTTTATGTGTATGAAACTACGAAGACCTAGTTCCTGTTCTTGAAAAGTTTACTCTCCACTTGGTCACAGCAGGACAATGGTATGTGTGAGAAAGAGATCTCAATAAACACATAAGATTTTAAAGCTCTCCGATGGCAAAGAATAATAAAAGATATAATGGTTACCCAAAGCCAAAGATGTTACAGGAGGCTCCCTATTAGAGGTCCAGCTTCTCAGCTCCCCAAAGTACCCAACGAAAAGTGTCTTGGAGTGAGGAATCTCTGGAGAGGGTCTCTGCCTGTGCTATTCTTCAGGCTTTGCTTTTTTGTTTGCTTGTTTGTTGTTTAAGGGTTTTTGTTTGGGTCATTTTATCTGATCTCTCTGCTCCCTGAAACTACTTTAGTCGTTTTTGTCTATTGCAGCATATAAGTGATCGAAAGTAGCCAGGTACTTTGCTCAGTGATTTCTTTAAGAGTACGTAAAGAAAAGTTTACTAGGATTGCCCTGACTAGACTTTAGCATTTGACTAAATGGAGTTCACTCCTGCAACTATTGTGATAGTCAGATGTGATAAATGCCCAGAGTGTATGGCACCAGGCTGAAAAACAGGCTGAGAATTAATTTGTCTTCCCTCATCATTTCCTGTCCCGCTTAATCTTTCTCACCACGTAGCAACAAGAATGATTCCGATTTAATAGATGGTTTCATCTTCATGCCTGTTATACAGAAGAGCTGTTCTGCTGTAGAACAAGCAGCTGCAATGTGGTTCTTTCATATAGCAGGGATTGGGATGAGTCATCTTTTATGGTTATCTACTGCTAGATAACAGACCAACCTAAACTCAGTGGTTTAAAACAAAACCAAAGAAGAAAATGTTTATATTATTCATGAATGTTGTGGGTTAGGAATTTGCAGTGGGCATAATGAGGAAAGCTTATTTCTGTTCCCCAGTGTTTGGAACCTAAATTGGGAAGTCCCAAAGGCTAAGGATGACTGGAGTTGCAGTCATCTGAAGGCTCGCTCACTCACATGTCACTTGATACTAGCTGTTATGTCGGACCTCCCCTAGGTTTGCTGGCAGGTGCACTTAAACCTGGCCTTCCTATGTGGCTGTTTGGGCTTCTTCACATCATGGCGCCATGTTTCAAGCACCCTGGGAGGATGACAGAGCCGTATTGTTACTATAACCTAGCCTCAGAAGGCACACTGCATCTTCTACAGCAGTTGTCAGCCTACCCAATGTCAAGGGATGGTAACATAGATCCTATCTTTTAATAGAGGAATGTCAAAGATACATTTTGTAAAAAGAGCATGCAAAATGGAAGGTTGTGGTCATTCTTAAATGCTAAAACCATTAGGCTTCTAGGTACTTTTTTAGTTTAGGTTTCAAATACCTAACCAAATCTGAATTTGTTTTAACCCTAGAAGCCAAGAAAGAACATGTGTGTGTAACATAGATACATTCCATTTCCTACAATATATGTATCTTTAAAAATTATTGTAAATTGTTCTTATAATTAATAAAAGTGTATAAATAAATTAAAACAGAAAATAATCTTACCATGTAAGATCAATACTTTAAAAGAAACCAAGGTAGCTTTTATCCTAAAGTAAATAGGCATTCTCAAATGGATCTGCATTTTAATAAGTAGGGTATTTTTAACAAGGCTATCTGTATGATATCACATGCTTGGCAGCAGTTCTTGGTTGCCTTTTTTTTATTATATTCTTTGTAAATTTTGTGAGTAGGCTTAGATTAAGGGGGTTTTTTGATGCTAAGCAACTACTAGGCTACTAAGAATGTTTTCTATTTCCTTGTCTTTGTGCCTTCATAGATCCGTGCAGTTGGCAGGCTAAAACGAGAACGCTCTATGAGTGAAAATGCTGTTCGCCAAAATGGACAGCTGTCCAGAAATGATTCCATGTGAGTAGAACTTCTAAGCACTGGATTGCATTTATATATGCTTTCTGAGTATATTGTCTTTACTCATCTTTGTCTAGATAATGTCTTCCCATAGTTTTTGAAATCTCATACATTTACATCAGTTTTCTCAGTTTTGCAGTGTTTTTTTCTTTTTTTCCTTAGTTTTTTTACTCTGGCTATTTTATTAATTATGAGAATTTGTCAGTAACATTAATCTCTTCTGTGTAAATACGATTTGCTTATTTGGAAAATCTATGGAGTATTCAGTACTTAAGACAAATTGGTAAATGTAAGTACTTAGTTACATACAGTCTTCAAGAATGTTTAGCGTGTAGGTTGAAAAATAAAAAGGAAAACACAATATGGAATGTCTCCTATTCAAGGTGTTCGGGTCCTCATAAGAGTGTGAGCCAGCCTTTTCTACCTCTGCTTATAATGAGCTATGGTCAGCAATGTGTCACACACACGCGAATCTTTATTTTTACTTTACTAGACTATTTCTTAGCCTTCTACTTACTGATTCATTGAATTATTAGGCCTCTTTAATTAAAAAAAAAAAAAAAGTCCTGTAAAGAACTATTTGTTTAAACCTTTCTTTCTCATTCAGTTATATAATCATGCCCTGATCTTAAAGGTACCACAAGATTTTTTTTTATCAGAAAATGCTTTTGATTGTTTTGTTAAAATTAATAGATTTTTACAAGTAAAATATTCTTTGAAAACTGGTCAGACTTTTATATCTCAAAGCCATTAATAGATTATTTAGATTGTTTATATAAATTATTATTTCTTCTTCAATTTTTTAGTTTTTACAAACTCAGCATGAACCATTTGTGATGCCAAACTCCATATTAGCTTCTGTGAGAGCTCTAAACTTGCAACGCTAGATAAAAGCAACACATTTCATTTTTAAAAGTTTGGTTGACTAGAGCACAATACAGTTACACTATTTATAGTATGCCATATTAAGTTCTAGTCATAGTTTGATCCTGTCTTTTGATACGGGGAAGCAGAAGGGACTTTGATGGGATAGGGTCTTTAATTTTCAGGGTAGAGAAAAGTATTTTTTTCATTTGGTTTTGTCCTTACTTGAAGAAGTCTTATGAACTGTTAATAGTTCATTACTGTTTCAGTCAGTTGGTGAAGTTCTAATTCGAATATTAATTACTCGCTTACTTTATTGAAATCCCAGTACTTAGGAGTCCATTAGGTGCAAAGGAGAACTGTATCTGCTCTGATTTCTTAACGGATCTTGAAATGTTTCTTAAAGTAGTTGCAGTCATTTTAAAAAGTTAAATGGGAAGAGAATAAGTTAAAATGAATATATATCTCCTTCAGGGAAGATTTTTTTTTTGAGAGAGAGATTTTTGCTATAAGATAGGTGCATTAGCTGGAGAGACAAAGATACAGAAAGTGAACCACACTGTAATCCCTTCTCCTCTCGGGATCTCAGGCACACATGCACACACACTTGGACCACATGAGATTCCAGCTATGTAACCATTACACCATCTGCTAGTCCCTAAACTTTTTTTTTTTTTTAAGGACTTTTTTTCTTTTTTTGGCCAGAAGGCACATGCACTCACCAGAGATAGAGAAAAAAACCCCAGGAGGGTCTAGTCATGCCACAGCCCTTTTTCCTTCATTTCTCCATCCCATCAACTTGAACATGCATGCATAGGGGTCAGAATTCGAACCAAGGTCAGCCATGTGGAATCCAACTCCATATAGAGTACACTTAACCACTGTACTGTGGGCTGACCCTTCAAATTATTATGAATGTGAACGTTTTAATGATGAATTATGTATTACCTTGAATGTATCTGGCTGGCAGTGCTGCCAACAGGCCCAGAAATCCATTAGTCTGGAGTACTTCCAGATACCACACAAATGCTGAGAAGGCTAGGGGAGCTTCTTGATCTGTAGTAGCTTGTCGGAATAATTAAGCATACACCTAAGGTCATTAATTATTTTCTGTTTGTAATATTTACTTTTTTTATGTCAGCAAAGGTTTCTGGTAAACTTTTCTACTATATAGATATGGCTTACTATTCAGGTCTTTCTTTGACATTTCATATGAATAAAATAAAGATAGGATAATTTTAGTATGGCATCACTTTTGTTTTATTCTCATAAAATATATACATTATTGATAGCGAGTTCAGCTGAAGAGAAAGGAAATAGTTCTATTATGTATGAAAACCAGCCCAGTGAAGTATGATGTAGAATAGTTCATGGATCTTTTTGCACTTACCTAATAACATGAAGTTTCTCATAATAGAAAGGATTAACTGCTAAAATCGTATTCTCTTTTTTTCTTTAAGTTGCTTTAATGGCAATTTTCTAATAAAACTGAACACCTTATGTTTTGAAAATCTGACTTTTGGTGTAAGAATAACATGAATCTTTATGCATTCTTGCTGTGAACTGTTTATATTGCTCAACCATGATTTATAGTTGATCTGTATGTTACCATGTTATGGGAAAATATTTAATGATCTTTTTGTTAATAATGTAACCCTTCCCTTTCTTCTACCATTATTAATTTTTTAATCAAATTCATCTTTAAGAATCTTTTACTAACTTCGGGATTTTTGTTTAATGAGCATATTACGTATTCAGTGTTAATGTGGTAAGGAAGAAACCGTTAATACAGTACAGCTATATCTTCTATGAAAGTAATTACTAAACTTTTACTATCTTTAACTGCTGAAGACTTTTGTAATGTGACATTGATTACACATTACTGTGCATGAACCTTTGCCAGCCTCCACTTAATTTTATTCTGTGGCTTTAAGAATAGAAGTGCACACAGGTATGAGAACAGGAGCACTGGCCTTTGGCCTTCATTTTCTTAATTTCTTTGACGAGGCAGTAGGACTGATTATTGTTGGCTTTGGCACAAAAGTGAAGTCTGACCAGTAGAACCATATCTAGCTTTTCCTTCGTGTTACAAAAGCTGAATGTGTAAAAGAGCATAATTATTATTTAAGGTGGCACAGATCAGATTCTGCCCCAAGAAATAAAATTTCAAGGTTCCAGGCACCGATTTCTGCACCGGAGTACACGTAAGATTTTATCTGCTCTGCTTTTCACAAGTGGGACTTACTTTAGTTTTGCAGGCTTATGGTCTTAATCTGTTTCACCAGGTAATTGGCATATAATACCCTAATGTTCTTACTGTTTGGCTTTTTATTACCTCTGTTTCAGGATTTCTCAAACTGTCATCATACACATTATTAACCAAAAACAGTAATTAGATCAGCTAAGGGAGTTGTATATAATTTGGGGTATATTGGTAAAAGGAAAATGGAATAATTTACACACAAGAACCAAGCATCCTTTTCCATTTTCATTATTTTGCCTTGCTTGAAGTATTAATTCTCTATGGATTCAATTTAACCATCTTCAGTAATTCCAATATTTGTTAAATTTTTTGAGACAGATTTTTGCTATAGGGCACATGTGCTTATTGGAGAGACAGAGAGACAGAGACAGAAAATGAGAAATCACCCCCCAGGGGGTATGGCCACGCCATAATCTCTTCTCCTCCATTCTCCTTTCAGGATTTTGGGCATGCGCACACACGTGCCCAGCGTGAGTTTAAGCCACTGGGTCTGTGACTCAGACCATGGTCAACTATGTAGGAGTCCAGCAGTATAACTTTTGGCCATCCGCTGGTCTCTCAATGTTCTTTTTTTTTTTTTTTTTGAGTTTTTTTTGCTTTCGGGCGCACACGCTCACCAGACAGACAGAGAGACAGAAAGCGAAAAATCAATGGCCACGCCACAATCCCTTCTCCATTCTCCTCTTGGGATCTTGGGCACACATGCACACGCACCCTGCGTGAGTTTTAATTCACGGGTCTGGGATATGAACCACGGTCGACTACGTGGGAGTCCAGCGATATAGCCATGACACTAACTGCTGGTCCCTCAATCTTCTTTTTTAATTTCAGTGCACTATCTCTTTTTTAAATTTATTTTGACCCAGAAGGAGGATGGAGTCTTACATGTGGTTTTTAATTTCTTAAGTTAAAATTAGGCTTAGAAGAAATTTTTTAGATCTTAAAATAATTTTCTTGGCATCATTCTTATGTGTGACAAAATAAGGTGTGGGAATGACTGACCTCTCGTGAGGGAGTACTGTAGAGTGCAGTATAAGAATTCTCATTGGCTAATGTCATTCTTAAGAAACAGAAGAAACCACACTGACCACAAATAGTCTGTTTCTAGAAACAAGTAAATTGCGTTAGACAGTGGCAACAAATTAAACTTTTCTATTTAAAATTTCAAGAGAAATATCCTTTTCTTTTTACTATTTTATTTTTTGAAAGAGGCTGATATCTCGCAAAGAGGTTAATATCACAGTTTGAGAAACATTATTCCTGTCAAAACTCATCAGGGAAGGAGGCACTTCACTTGGAACTTACCTTGTAATAATGTCATGGTTATGCCAAGTAAATTTTAAATTCTAATTCTGACTCTGGCTTGTGTTTACTTAACTGTTAAAAGATTTCATGTAAGCATGAGGTAGAGCTGTTACTACTAGTGAAATATCATGGTAACCATCAGTGCTTTCTTCAAAATTTTCTAATCTTATATTTTAAAAGCTAAAGTTGAGGTGTTGCTGTTTATAATACTCCGGGATCAACTTATTCATCAAAGTGTATTTTTATTAAATTATTAATATTATGATTTTGCTTAAATAATCTTAGTGTCTTTGCAATATCTTTCATGATAGTTCACTTCTCAAAACGAACAGCAAAAACAGAATGTCACTGAAGTTTGGCTGAGTGCACGCGTGGATGGCACTGGGACCCGATTCTAAAAGCTGTTCTCATAGTTCACACCATGAGAGCACGTTCCACTTAGTGTCAGACCAGTTGCTAAAATGGGGCTTATTTTTGTTCTTAAATGTATTCATTAAAAAGCATTTAAATTACTTAAAGCTTAAAAACAGAAAAAGACGTACTGAATTATTTATTATTTATTACTTTGATTATTAAGGTAGTTTTGCTTATGATACGGTCATTCATCTCTTCTGTAGGTAGAAATAAATAAACAACCAAAAATGGTCATTAATTTAAGAAATACTTCCTATTCTCTTTTTCCTGTTTATGGAGGATTGCCATGTAAAATATGAAAAGTTAAATTTCTTCCTTATCTTTGAAACTTTAATTTCCTTTAAGAAGCAAACAGAAATCCAAAAATTTTTTTTGAGAGATTTTTTCTATCAGGCGCATCCGCTCATGGGAGAGACAGAGACAGAGAGACAGAAAGCAATAAATCACCTCCCCCCACCCCCGGGAGATATGACCACACTGCAGTCCCTTCTTCATTCTCCTCTTGGGATTTTGGGCATGCATGTACATGTGCCTGGTTTGAGTCTTAAGCCCCCAGGTCCAGGACTTGAACAGCGGTCAACTACTTGGGATTTCAGTGACGTAACTGTTACGCCATCTGCTAGTGCCCCACATATATTTTTGATGTTGGTCTTTGATGAAATTATTATCTTTACTAGTATTAAGAAAACTTAATTTTGTCTTTTATCTTTCCACTTAAGTGTTTAAGTTACAGTTGAGGATCATGTAAGGTTTTTCCCATGTATTTCCATGTTTCAATTTCACATGATCATAAAAGCTAAAATTGGAAGAGAGCTCGTATATTTAATTAGAGTCCAAACTTCTGAGCACTCCATCCTGCTTCTCTCTGATGATTCTTTTTAAACGTGAACTTAATCTGGTTTCTCACAAATAGCAAAAACTTGAAGTTTTCACTGCTCGGCCTAAAGAGAGTTCTAGTTTTAAGCACAAGACTATTGTACAGCCTTTGTATCTCAGATAATGCTGTTTTTTTTGTTTTTTGGTTTTTTTTCTTAATTTTTCTGGGATGCCCTGCATAGGTTTGTCAAGTGGCATGAGTCAGTTGACACACTGGTTTTTAACGCTTGTGTGTGTGTGTGTGTGTGTGTGTGTATTCCAGAAGATTCTCAGTGCCTGAAAAGACATTTAGCGTCACAGTAGCTGTGAGACTGCATGTAGAAATTGGATTTATCTTGACATCATTAGGCCTAATTCCTGTGGTATATCAGCCTTGACAGATTAATTGCTCAATATATCAAGATTTGGCTTAGGTCCTTCTCTTCTTTTTTTTGGGAGAGGTTTTTGCTATAGGGCGCGTGTGCTCGCCAGACAGAGAGAGACAGAGAGACAGAAAACAAGAAATCACCCCCCAGGGGGGGATGGCCATGCCGCAATCCCTTCTCCTCTGTTCTCCTCTCGGGATCTTGGGCACGCACGCATGCACACACACCACGCGTGAGTTTTAAGCTACCGGGTCCGGGACGCGAACCGCGGTCGACTACATGGGAGTCCAGCGACATAGCCATTACGCTAACTGCTGGTCCCAGGTCCTTCTCTTCTAAGTAGTCTTTGCAAAGCATGGTTTTCACATTTATTGTCCCTCTCTTTGGGTCATCAAGACATCTAAAGTTTTCACAGTATTCTCTGCATTGATAAGGTTAGGCTAGAACTCTTTAAAACTTGTGTCATTCAAATGTGGCCAGATTTCAGGAAGCACTGGCAGTGAATCCAAAAGAAATGGTGAATTTCAGAACACTTATGAAAGAATGGTTAGTATTTTGGTCACTGAGAAAATAGAACTGCTTATTATCAGCCATCCAGCTAATTTAGGCAGTGTCCTCGCTTACTTTCCCTGTATTCACAGAATTGGAAATAGTTCTCTGTTTTAGTCATCTAACTAGGCAGCATATCTTTTATTATAATTAAGCAATCAGAATGCTTTTGTTACAGTTTTCTAAGACCTTAATTCATCTTTAAATCATTGTCATTTACCCATCATAAACCCAGCTTGCTTTGTTGTCATTATTTGTGAAGCATTTGGAATGGCATTTTTATGGACTCACCTTTATGTGTTTAAACTTTACACTCGTATGCCAGAATTCTCCACTCTACTCTTCTGATCATCTGTAAGTTGCATGCAGTGTTGTTTCTTAGAGGTTTGGTCCGCTGAGTTGAAATATAAACACCAGATAAAGAATGTTGCTCCTCAAAGCTGGAGGGTGATTCCATGTATTGTAGTTCTCTTTCCTCTCCAAGTTGTGTCTCCATATTCTGTTTGTTTGTTTGTTTTGATGTTTAGGGTTACAAAGTTACAAGTGCTGCATTGTAGCTGACTTTAGAAACCAATTCAAAATGTTTTAATCTTATGGGGGTCTGAAGGGTGGGGGATGGGGCAGGAAAACTAAGATTCAAAACTGCTCAGCTGAAGTGTTATAAAAATCTGACCTAAGTATTTTTCTCTTCATTTGCTATGCTTACGTAAACAGTGTGACACCATCGCCACCACAGGCTCGGGTCTGTCCTCCCCATATGTTACCTGAAGATGGAGTTAATCTTTCCTCTGCCCGTGGCATTTTGTCGCTTATCCAGTCTTCCACTCGTAGGGCTTACCAGCAAATCTTGGATGTGCTGGAAGAAAATCGCAGGTGATTGGCCATCAGTGACTCTTGCCAGCTTTGTTGCGTATTATTTGGCTCCTTATTTAGTGGACTGTGGTGTCTTCCTTTTATGTTTGCACCTTCTAGTCTTTTTCTGAGATGCAGTGGTTTGAAGTAGCTTGCTTTGCTTTCTTTTAATTTGAAATTATTGTCCAAAATTCACATTTCACAAGTTTACATTAGCCTTCCTTTACTTAGTATTTATTTACTATCCCCAGGAAGCATGGTGGTTTTCAAAGGTTTTGCTGATCTATCCGTAAGTATTAGGTTTGACTTCGAATATGCTGAGGCCTATCATTAGACTGACTGAGATGCTGGGCCAAAGCACAGTAGTCGTAAAGTACGCCTTTGAGCTGTCATTTGTTACACCAGTATGATCGCAGTTGGCGATACCACACATGCCATTGTTGATAGTACTGGTATTTTTCAGTATTGTTAACTTACCTCACTTTTGAACATCTCCAGGTAAAATCATTAGTAGTTTATATAGCATGTCCATTCAATTTATTTTTTGCAATTATTTCAGATACTTTTTCCTCCTTTCTTAACTACTAGATACTGTTTACAAAGATGAAATTCAGGGAGCCTTTTTGACATAGTATGGGGAAAGATATAGTCAGTTTCATTTCAACTCTAAATATTAATCTAGTGGTTTCTGAGAGATTTTGCATTTTTTTAAAGAATTATTTCATTTTATTCATTTTTATTTTAATTTGACCAGAGAGAGACACACACAGAGCTGCCAGGCCTGGCCGGGACTCAAACTGTGGTCAGCCATGTGGGAGCGTCCAGCACCTTAAGTATCACACCACCTGCTGGTCCCTGGTTTTGCATTTTTATTATCGTTTCACTTAGACTGTTTTGAAAATTTTCCCAAAAATTAAGCTGACCTTTTCAGTAAACCTTATTTCTTACCTTGGGAACTGATAATGTTTTCTGGCTTGCTCTGAACAAACCATTTTATGTTAGTGCCTTTGACTCCTCACACACAGAGCCTGGATATCACACCAGACATCAGAAGCACTTGTTCATACCACTTACCATCCATACTGCTTACTGTTGTTGAATCCATGGCCTTTCTGGGCCTTCCAAGGGTTACTCTGGGCCCAAGGGCTTAAAAAGAGCTTTATAGAGAAAGCTCATGACATTGGGGAAATAGAAGGAATTATATATACAGGTGTGTGTTTATCCATATGTATTTGAGTGTGTGTATGTATGAAAAGATGTAGATTGTTTTTCCCCAAGGATTTAGAGTCTCTTTTAAGCTCTTTGAGCCTTTAAAGACTTGGAATGTTTAGAAGTTGTGTTCAAAAGAAAAAGCATGGATTCAGCCTTGATCCACTTTACCAAAAAGTACATGATGGCCTTTGAACAAATCGCACAACCTCTGGGCCGCATTTTCCTTATCTGTTGAAACAAGGTGGGAAGGGGATGATAATAGCTTTCTGGATTCTCAGGATGAATCTTCTCCCTCCCCACTTTTGCTTGAAATAGAGGGATAATGGCCTCAAATTCTTTATGTAGTAGGGTAGGAAAACCTTCAAAAGATTGAATATAATACTTGGCAGTTGAGAACTAATATTTATAAAATCCTGGTTTTTTCCTCCTTTAAAACAGATTTATTTCTTCAGATACTCTCTTTAACTTTTAATCGTAGTAGATCTTTAGAAGAAATCAGATGATTCAGTCTGAGTATACCATATCAAATGTTGTTACAGTGAAAATATCTGAATGCAGAAGAAATTTGTGAATCCCACAGAGACTACATAGTAGCTGATGTCAGAGTCCTGGTACATTAAAATTATTTGCCCCACCCCCACCGACATGTGCACAGTTCATGTTGTTATATGGAACTTGTAAAAACACGGATTTTCTTCTCTCCATACAGAAAAAAAAAATTGCCTCAATTTCAAATGTACAAAATTAGAAATGTCACTTATGTTAAACTTTGTATTTTATTATAAAAAAATCATTTTGAATTCTAACTAAAATTTTTATTTTTTACAGTGTAATGAATTGACACCTTTAAAATTCATTTTCTGGGAAATAATTTTCTTACTTATATAAGATTCAGTTCATAAGGAGTTACGTTAATAACTTTGCTCCTGGGTATTTACCTTGAAACGTGGAAAGTTAGAGTCTCATCAGTTTTATCGAACCTTTCATTCGTTAAAGGGTTTTTTAAACTCACATTCAGATCTCTTGTCATCTAAGTGTTGAGTAGAGTTGGATCAGAATTTTAAAGGCCAAATCAGTCTTTATCTCTGATAATATCTAGTATGGCTTTTCAGATCTAAGAAGTAAGAATGTGAAATTTGGATAATGTTCTCCTTGCATGATTATAAAATAATACTGCTTTTAAGTTGTAAGTGCTTTTATGTTCCTTGCTCTGTACATCATTTTTTCCTTTCTATTTTCTTACTCTTGGCTGTTATGCTAATGAATTGCCCTATCTGTGGTCTTGCGCTATTCCTTTAGGTTTAGCTCTTTTAATCTAGAACTGTTTGGCAGAAAGGAAAACAAAAAAGCTTTCTGCCATATTTATTATGAAAAAATAATATCTCAACATAAGAATTTCTTTTAGTTTTTATATTAAGGGTTACTCACAAAGATCATGTACCATAATATATTTTCTTTTCATCTTATGAGAATTTAAGTGGTCTAAACCAAATTCAACAAGAAAACCAGTTTAAATTTTATGTGCACATTAGGAAAATTTATTTACACAGCTAGTACTGTCCATTTGGAAAACATGGATCGACACTTTATCAAAACACCTAGGACAAGCACTGAGAACATTCTCTGCTCAGTGGCAGCAGGATTTAGAACGCTATTGTAACTTAGTCCTTTGCTGCTCAGGAAATGCCTACTTATTCCTGTATCTGTTAGAACTACATATTTCATTCTAAGTCCTCAGACTATTAGTAACTGTGGCAGTTTAAATTTTATAGTGAACACTTATTCTCTTAAGTCATGTATTTACTCAGAAATGCCACTATAACAAGCTAACGCTGGAATTTAGTAGCCTGGCATTTCTCTCTCTTTTGCCACTCTAATTACAACACATACTGCTGAAAAGATTTATGTATTAAATCATGCTTATGGTAGAAAGTGGTACTTAAATGAAGTTTCTAACTTTGCCAAATACCTGTCTAATTTACTTTTATATTATTATGTGTCAATTGCCAGTGTGAGAAGACAAAATGAAATACGTTGTGAAAGGTAACTGTATTGTTTTCTGGCTCTGCATTATAGAAGGGAAATCTCTGTGGTGGATGTTGAATATGGCAGATCCATTTGAACGTGTTACTTTGCATTTTAAAGAGAAGCAGCAGGGGCTTCTTTTAGTGTACCATTCTCATGTTAGTGTAATTTGCTATTTTAGCTAAGTCACAGTTTCCTAATACCAGGGAATAAATAGGAGGAAAGGTGAGTTTAAAACCTGTCTCAATATTCTTTAGCCAATAAGAAAAAGTCCCCACAGAAAGTTTCTGAATCCTTTATCTCCTAGGCCCTAGGAATTTCTTTATGCTCTAGCAGCACCTGTAGGACGTGTAGAATCAAAACATTAAAATTAACATATATAAATTGAATTATCAGAAAATAGTGATTTGTATAGTATAGTATTTGTATAGTCAAAGTTCCACAAGCTTGTCAACTTACAAAAAAAAAAATTAGTGCATTTGGTACTAAATGTTTGCTCTAATTTATTGCCTTGGTACTTAAATTTAGGCAAGACCCAATCAGTTTAAAATGATAGTTAAATAATAATTTTCCTAATTCCGCTGTTCCTAGAAAATGAGACATTGAAAATGGGATTTATAAGTCTCAGAACTCTTCTATGGATCCTATTCCAGTATCTTTTCTCTGGTTAATAAATACTGCTGATTATTTTGGGGGGACTTTACCAGTTGTTCTCATTTCCTGAATTTGAAAAATAAAACATATTAGAAAGGTAACTGTTTATCTAGGTAGAGAACTAATTGTCCGCTAGAACCAAAGTACTTACTGAGACCGAGTGAAAAGCCCCGCATAGTTTTCCAGTGTGCCCTGTCTTCACGCCAGCGCCCTGTATGTCACTTTGGTTGTCTCAGGATCAGGCTGTCCTGTTTGCACTTCTGTAATGCACTGTAGCTTTTCCCCTGACCTCAGCTCCAGAACTGAGGCTCAGTTTTGTTCTGGAGGGCCCATGGTTTGAATGAGACAGAGATACTTTAAGACATCAGGCACCAATTGGAATTATTGGCATGGGAGGGAGGAAATTATGGGAAGCAAAACTTTCGTGAAATTAATAGTTTTAAAATAGAGCTACAGGGAACCAACAGTTAGCGTAATGGCTATGTCGCTGGACTCCCACGTAGTCGACCACGGTTCGCGTCCCGGACCCGGTGGCTTAAAACTCACGCCGGGTACGTGTGCGTGCGTGCCCAAGATCCCGAGAGGAGAATGGAGGAGAAGGGATTGCGGCATGACCATCCCCCCTGGGGGGTGATTTCTCGCTTTCTGTCTCTAATGTCTCTCTCTGTCTGGTGAGCACACGTGCCCTATAGCAAAAATCTCTCCAAAAAAAAGAAAAAAAAATAGAGCTACTGATAGCAGATGAGCAACCATGACCATGCAGGTGCTACTAACCGGTTCCTGACATGCTTTTAAAGTTGCTAGTGATTTGTTTTTGTTTTTCAACTAGGAATTATATTTTTAAGGACAAGTTATACTTGTCCTCTGTCTTGAGTTTCATAAGTTAAAGTATAAGCACCAAAAAGAATTGTTTTATATGTCGGTTGCTGCTGTTTTGTCACCGATAGATTCCCTTTGTTTCTTTAACCAGTTGTGAAATACAAAATTTATGAAAATAATACAATGGAGGACATATGAGACAAAGATTTTTAAAGTATTTGAGAGATATTATATTGTATTAAGACATACAATATAATCCTGTTTGACATTTGTCTTGTTTTTGCTTTTATTTTATTACTTCTCTGTTTCCTGATTCTGTCTTGTGCCTTCTCCCGCAAAAACCTGCCTTAGACCTGTGTTGCGTGGTGGGTCTGCGGCCGCCACTTCTAATCCTCATCATGACAACGTCAGGTAAATTTTGAGATTTCCTAACTACCAGGATAAATAGTGGATGGGATTTGTGTTTTGCCAGACCGATGCGTGTCGTGCCTTTTTGTTATAGCTTGAACTTCTACAGCTTTCCTCGATGAATACACCCTGCTTCTCTCCAAGAACACTGAGCTTCATCATTTGGGTTCCAGCGTGAGAAAATATGTTTAATAGTTACACTATGATGTGAACATCTGACCTATTTTACTTAAAGATAGTCTGAATTGCTTATAGGAGATTATGCTAAAACACATTTAAAAAATCACCTTAAATCATGTTTCGCATACGTCATTTTAGTTGTTCTGTCTAGCATTTCATTTTTAGGTGTTGATTATTATAATGTCGTTTTTTATGTGCGGATATACCTGTCTGAAAGGCAGCCTCTTAAATTGAGGGAAATTAGCATTGACATCCAAACAGTCTGCAAGTTGAATATTTAGGGAGGGAATTTAATTTTAAACATTTTTATCTGTTGCTTTAAGCCTTTCTCTCTTAGTTTTGCCGTTTTCACATTTTTGAGACATACTTAACCTGAGTAATTACTTTCTCTTGTCATGCGCTGCAGCAGATAGAATGGCAAGTACAAATTCTTATTAAAGCTTCTCATGGGACCAGCAGTTGGTGTAGTGGCTGTGTCACTGGACTCCCATGTGGTCGACTGCGGTTCGAGTCCTGGACCCGGTGGCTTCAACTCATGCCGGGCACGTGTGCATGCATGCCCAAGATTCTGAGAGGAGAATGGAGGAGAAGGGATTGTGACATGGCCATCCCCCCACCCCAAGGAGTGATTTCTCACTTTCTGCCTCTCTCTATATTTCTGGCGAGTGCACGCGCCCTATAGCAAAAACCTCTCAAAAAAAAAAAAAAAAAACACACAAAAAAAAAAAAAAAAAAAAAAAAAAAGGCTTCTCATGTGCCAAAACTCCATTTAGTTTTCTCTCCTTCTGGAAAAATGGAAGCAAAGCTGATTGATATGCACAGATATTCATATTGCAATTGTTTTGGAGAGCCAGTTTTGTTTATTTTAAGCAGCAATCTTTAGCAGTAGATTTGAAACTGGTACCTTTATTTATATTATAAGAGGTAGTTGGCTTATTCTTTTAAGCAAGAGAAAATGAAAAATAATCAGTTTTCATCATTTGAATTCATATTGGAGGAATTAAAATGTGTCCTTAGGCCCCCTTCTTATCCCTTTGCTTACTTGTTTCTTTTTATAATCTTACTTCCTTCCATGGTAATTTTTCCTTTTATTTTTCTCTATGTTTATGATCGCTTTATCTTTCTGAGAAAGTATTTTCGGGGACCAGCAGATGGCGTAATGGTTACATCACTGGACTCCCACGTAGTCGACCGCGGTTCAAGTCTTAGACCCGGTGACTTAAAACTCACACTGGGCGCGTGTGCATGCGTGCCCAAGATCCTGAGAGGAGAATGGAGGAGAAGGGATTGCGGCGCAGCCATTCCCCCGGCCCCCTGGTGAGGGGTGGGGTGATTTCTTGTGTTCTGTCCCTCTGTCTTTCTGTCTGGTGAGCGCACGCACCCTATAGCAAAAATCTCGCTTACAAAAAGTTTTTTTTTAATAAAGGATTTTCAGCCAGTGTTTTGACTTAACATTTCTTACAGGCTCTTTAGTTCAGACAAATGCGGGTTTTAGATTAATACACATTGTAAAGCAGTGTTTTTTCCCTTCCAAATTGAATTATATAGGTGAAGTCATTTGCCATATCCTGAGATTTCTTTGCTGCTGCTGATTCTCTTTGCACATGTCTGCAGGTGTACTTAATTAAGGGTTTAAATGTAAGCAGTCCCTTTCACTCGTTCTCCTTTCTCTGTGCTCACTCTGGATCTCTTTACCTTTGAGGCAGTTGCTTATATTTAATTTTCCCCCAATTATTCATCTGTCTGAGCTCAGAGAAATACAAGTTTTATTTTGAGGATAAAGTATAGAAAAAAAAGTATCTTTGGGCTAACCAGTGGCATGGTCATTCAGGTGACTGAATCCCACAGGGTTCAAGGACTACAGGACTCAAATCCCAGACACGGTGGCTTAAAAAACAGCTGGTGTTTGTCCGTGCATCCCCAAAACCCCAAAGAAAGGGGGAAATGGAGGAGAGGGGTTGTGGTGTGGCGTGACCATTCCTCCTGGGCGAGCTTTCTCACTTCTCCTCTCTTTGTGACTCTCTCTGGCAAGCACTCGCACATGCCCTTTGGCAAATTAAAAAGAAAAGAGTATTCTTCGATTCTTATTTTTCCCACTAACCATTTAATAATTTTGTCTTAATGTTCTCAAGAATAATTAAATCCAATGTTTGTAAATTTAGTCCCAGCATCTACTAAATTAGAAATTTACTTCTGTCCTGATACAGTTACCCTTAATATGCTAGGCTATTTATTCTGTCCTCATGGAGGAAAAAAAAAAGTAGCAATTAATGAGAAAGCATGTTAATTTAACCATAAAAGAAACGTTTAGAGATTGTTGTGGCTTGTCCGGAGTTAATATGTATTAATCTATTATTTAAGCTTTGTTTTTCACATTTATAAAAGTATTTTTAGATTATTTTCAGCAATATTTACAAAAAGGATCTTCTGAATTGACTTAATCTTTAACATGTCTGGATGAAAGATAAAACTACACTTCATATCCCTTTGTGTGGTACTGGGATCTCATGGGGAGTGTAAGAACAGATGATCCATGCACCTGCTCTCTGTGGATTACAGAAGAGTAACTTTTCATTCAATTGACTTATACTCTACTCATTCAGAAAATTTACCATGCCATTTACTGAAATTATTATATAAGATATAAAATACACAGCTGAGGTGAATTATATAAAAATGATAGCTCCAAAAAAGTATTTGATTAAAATAAAATATTTTTAAGAGATTTTTGCTGTAGGGCACATGTACTTGCTGGAGACACAGAGAGACAGAAAGCAAGAAGTCACCCCCCGGGGGGATTACCAGGCTGCAATCTCTTCTCCATTCTCCTCTCAGGATTTTGGGCATATACGCACGCATGTCTGATGTGTTTCAAGGCCTGGGTTCAGGACTCAAACCATGGTTGGCCAGGTGGGCTCCCATTGTCATGACTATTACACCATCTACTGGTTTCATACTAAATTTTAAAATGTAGAGATCCAGACAAAGGGAGGAGGGGTGGCATTTTGGTCTATTTGTCTTTCAGAAGGTTATTGTCACTTTAAAAATCTCAGTCATTTAAGAAGTAAGTACCTTTGAATAAAAAGTACTTTTTAATGTGCTTTCTCTGGATTTTGTCTTAATGAATTTTTTCAATATGATTATTTTATACATAGCATCTTTATTATTTATTAGCAAGGAAGTTCTGAATCTAAATGTAGGAGCAGTATGTATTCAGGAGGTTTTATTGACTGTAATCACTTCTGCAGAAGAACACAAGAGTTAGTAGTGGGAAATAAGTGAAGAGTAGACATGGCCAGAGAAGAAGAGAAGAGAAAAAGGGAAGATTGGCCTTTTTCTTTTAGTTACTCTATTTTGCTTTCCTTGCCAGAAACTATGCCTGTGAAAGTGCATGTGGGCATGAGCAGGTGTGAGGATTGTGTGTAGTTCTGCTCCACGTGACAGCTTCGCCGGGGATCCTTTTCTAACACTAGTGTCCCCGCGCCGTGGAGATTGCTGCTTCCTTACCATTAGTCAGGGTTGCATCTCATTCCGAAGTCCCAGTACACTTCCCCAGTACTGTGGATAGTTGTCATCCTAAGTGTTTGTTTTCTTAGTACCAGTTCACATGGGAAGGTATTTTAGTAACTCACATTGTTAAGTACTAGTCTTGAATACTGCTTTGAGCATTATTCAGTGCATTACATGATTCGTCAGTTATTTTCACTTCTGTTTTAATAATTTCTTTGTAATTTGCTAGGTATGGCATTTCAAATATAGACACAACAATGGAAGGAACGTCAGATGACATGACTGTTGTAGATGCGGCTTCATTAAGACGACAGGTATTTCATACAATACACGTAAGGTATAATCCTAGTTACATAATATTTTAAAGGGATAATTCCCAAGATGTTACTGTTTTCTCTCCTATAGAAACCATGAATTGAAGTATTTTATCTGTTAAATTATTTTAGTGGGCCATAATTGATTTTCCCTTTTTGGTTAAAGATACGTTATTTTTCAATTGCCAGAGGGTGTGTTTGCATGCCAGAGAGAGACAGAGAAGCAGAGAGAAAGTGGGCAGGCTCGTGCCAGTCCTTTTCCTTGCATTTCTCCATCCTTTCAGGATTTGGGGCACACATGCACATGTGCCTGCATGTTTTCCAAGCTGCTGGGGCTGGGATTTGATCCACATGGCCTGTCATATGGGATCCAGCTTCCTTAATGACCAGGCTAAGGGGCCAGCCTAATCAGAGAGATATTAAACTACTGCTTACATGTTTTGATCAGTGTGAGACCGTAGTAACAAAATGGATGGTTGTGAATTCTGGCCAATAATAAAGAGTCCTCATGTTTCAGAGTCAGGATAACCTTAGATTGCTTGCTTGGCTTTTGAAATGTGGAACAATCTCTTTGGGGACCTTTCTTTCTGTATTCAGTAACTTCACCTTGGAAACCACTGCTTTCAGTTTGCACAGTGTATCTATACACCTGTTTTTGTTTGTTTTTAAGAGATTTTTTTACTAGGGTACATGTGCGAGACAGGGAGAGAGAAAGCGAGGAATCACCCCCCTGGAGGGATGGCCATGCCGCAGTCCCTCCCCTCCATTCTCCTATCAGGATCTTGGGCATGCATGCACACGCGCCCGTCGTGAGTTTAAGCCACCAGGTCCAGGACTTGAACCGAGGTCGACTACATGGGAGTTCATCGACATAGCCATTACACTAACTGCTGGTCCCAATATGCGTGGTTTTAATAGCTACTCCCATAATTTCTAGAATCACACAGCCATACACACAGATGTAGAAATCATATTTGCTGTTCTCCTTGTGTCTGTGCTAAATTGATGTAGAGGAAAATTGGATGAAAATATTTAAGTAAAGATCAGTAAGGAAGCATGAACTTAGGCAGGACAATTGTGCTGCCCCGGGACTGTTGACAGTAAGGATCAACACCTCAGGGCAGTGCTCTCAGCCAGTAGTGTTTCTAGCAGCCCAAAGTCTTTTACACCGAAAGAGTCTGGGTGACATTACACAGAGCACATAACAGGTTGCAATAGGGGACCCTTCCAGTAACTCCGAGTTGTAGACAAAGACAAGAATTATGCCCGGTTAGAGATGGCAACTAACGCAGAGTGGCAAGAAGCTCAGAGAGAGGCTTGGGAAGGGACGAGGTTCCCGTACTGTGTGTGAGCCACGTGCAGCCAGCCTGAGTGTACGTAGTCCTTTCTACCAGAACGGCAGTATGTGTACCGTGTTTCCCTCACACATCGTCTGATGGGGAAGGAAGGAAATGCCCACTTTATAATTCAGAAATTTGAAAAAGGGAAAGGGAGAAAGCCATTTAAATTAATCGACGCTGTCATTAGCAATGTCTTTCTTAATGCAGTTGTGTTTATTTTGCTCCGAAAGAAGCTTTCTTTCCATGTTTGTGATAACTCTTTTTAATTATTTTAAAGCATCTGATTGCTATATGCTAAAGCTTCTATTGTGTGTGTGTTTTTCACTTAGATAATCAAACTGAACAGGCGGCTGCAACTTCTGGAGGAGGAGAACAAAGAACGTGCTAAAAGAGAAATGGTCATGTACTCAATTACCGTGGCATTCTGGCTGCTCAACAGCTGGCTTTGGTTCCGTCGCTAGAGGTAACCTCAGCTCTCAAACTTGTCTCCACAGCTGGAAGTATAAAGGATTTGCAAACCTCTTCGTTTCTGTCTTTGCATTGTATGCCGTTTTATAGTCCATGCCCTGCAACTGTATTTCTTCACAAAGTCAGGAGAGGTATACTCTGTCACTCAGCCCTACTCACTTTTAACCAGTTCTGCAGTAATACCTACACAAAATTCGCCCTTTGCATGTTTTGTAAATAGGCTCTAGTGTTTTTTTTGTTTTTTTTGTTTTTTTTTTTTAAAGGAATTGAGTTTTGCCTCATCAGCTTACACAGGTAATTTCTCTGAATGGGAGGGAGTGTGCATAGAGAATGGATTTAGAAAAGTATCTGTAAAAGGAAAACGATAATTTGTCCTTATTCTTAAGCTCTATCATTTAACAGTTTTGTTAAGAGACATTTTTGGATCCTCATTTCACATTAACACTTTTGAAGTCATGGTCTGGTGCCAGATTCGAGAAAATCAAACCACCTAATATTTTGTGACCTCCTTTGCTGTACTGCACCTGTACTGATTAAATTAAAACAATTCCTAACATTTCAGCGGTTTGTCTAACGTGTGTGCAATATGTGCGTTCTTATTTTCATTTTAGTTTTGCAGATGGTTTTCTATAAAGTATGTTTTTACTAAGTCCACGTGTGAATGATTTAAAACCACAGAATAAGGTACAAATGTAGTGTATTTAATAAACTGTCAACCAAAGCATTATTTGTCCACCGAAAGATTTTATTTCATCCTGTTGTGTGCAGTGAGCTGAATTCTTCCCCCTCCTACCTTGTGTGAGTGTCCCTGTGTCAGGAGCAAGCAATGCAGGTACTGGCGGCAGGGAGCACGCTCCTGCTGTGCTTTCCTTTAGGCCCACCCTGGTGGCGGGCACTGGTTCACTGTAGGTGGTTTCTCTAACTTGTAGTATCTCTAACGTGGTTCAGGATTAAAATATTTTGAGTTGTGTATACTTTTCTCATTGTAGTATTTACTCGTTAATATACTAAATCTAATGAGAATTGAACCCACCAATGAAACCAAGTCCTAGGTGCCTTTAGTTCTCCCAACCTTTCTTTTTTTCAAGTTTGTTTATTTATTTATTCCACGAGTCAAAGAGAGCAAGAGAGGACAGAGAGAGAGCATCCCCAAAAGGGCCTTGACACCACTCTTGGTGTCTCAGCCAGCTCCAGATGCTGAGCATGTGTGCACCTGGGAGGTCTCGAGGAGTGAACCCAGAACCCTCCAATGTGGGTTTGCCTTTCAGAGCGTCATCTTTTACCACTGTGCCATTGCCCAGCCCCCTAGTTCTTAAAACTTATTTTTTCCCATTTTGATTCAGAAACTAGAATTCAGTTACGTGCAATATTCTTCACTCATCTTCAGTGTATTTTTACCAAGGCAGTTGATTTTGGGACACGCAGTCGAGGGAAATTTCTTAGATATAGGTAGATTTAATGTTTATTGTTTTCTCTCTCATCTCTCTGGAAAAATATTAGGAGGAAGTATTCTCTGATCAGTCATGTGTTGCTTAATAGATGGTGATACATTCTGAGAAATGTGTCAGGCGGCACCTCAGTGGTGTAGCCCACTACACACCTGGGCTGTGTTGTGCAGCCCATAATAATCGTATGCAGCCTGCCATCGACCGAAATGTCACTGTACTCTGCATGGCTGTACTCAGGTATCTGTGGGCAAGTTGGCAAGATTTTTCTTTGCCCATGGAAGATTTCTCACTTTTGGTCATGTCCTAGTGATGTGTTTATATTAGTTTAAACATTTTAAGTCTGACAGGATATAGATAATATGGCCTTCTAAGTAAAAACATAAAAATGAGGACATAATTGGCATCTTTGTTGCTGATCAGGATGGAAAGGATTCCACAAAAGCTAAAATTCAAACAAGCAGGATTTCTGGGAGATATGTGCCAAAGTTGCTTTTTGTCCTGATGATTTTTACCAAATACCAGAGACCTAGAGCTTTCTCCTTTCATGGTTGTGCAAGTGGTGAGAGATTACATTTTCTACCTTGAATCAAATTCTCTTAGGGAGGCATAACTCTAACAAGACGCCTGAGTGAAGTCAGCACCCCAAGACTGCTCTCTCAGTGGGAGAGTGAATGAGAAACCTACTTACCATGCAAAGGGAGACGACAACAAAGACTTCTCACATGACCAACTCCATGGTTCGAGTCCTGGACTGGTGGCTTGAAAGACACGCTGGGAACATGCTTGGGTGCCCAGAATCCTAAGAAGAGAATGAAGGTTAAGGGATTGCAGTGTGGCCATACCCTGGGGGCTGATTTCTTACTTTCCCTCGTCTGTCTGTCTCTCGCTCACTCATGTGCACACGTACCCTGTGGCAGAAATCTAAGGAAAACCTCTCTGAACATGGTCACAGATCTAAAACCAGAAGAGCTTGAATCTAACTCCAAAGTCAAGCTCTTTGTATCACATCAGGCTCCCTCCCCTAACGTCATTAATCACTATAAAGAATTGTTCTGAGAGAACCAGCAGTTAGCGTAATGGCTATGTCGCTGGACTCCCACGTAGTCGACCGCGGTTCGCGTCCCAGACCCGGTGGCTTAAAACTCATGCCGGGCGCGTGTGCGTGCGTGCCCAAGATCCCGAGAGGAGAATGGAGGAGAAGGGATTGTGGCGTGACCATCCCCCCTGGGGGTGATTTCTTGCTTTCTGTCTCTATGTCTCTCTCTGTCTGTCTGGTCAGCGCATGCGCCCCATAGCAAAAAAAATCTCCCCCCCCAAAAAAAAGAATTATTTTGAAATTGAGAGGAATGAGAGAGTGATCCTAGTTAGGATAATCAGGGAATATTTCTTGGATACTTCTTCAGCAAGCTCCCAATGATGGAAAGACTCCAGATGCAGGTAACAGGGAGGGAGGGAGGCCCTCAGGGCCAGAGCTGTTTTCCACACCAAGTACAGCAGATGTGTTCCTCAGGTACTTGCAGAACATTTTGTTTTTTTCCCATTTCTGGGAGTATATATTGAAATACTGGCAAGTGGTTTATATGCTGAGGTGTGAACTCAGTACTAACTCAATACTATGAAAGTAATATAATTTCAGGGCCACAAGTGGCATGGGGATTAAGGGCACTGGACTTCTACATGACTGACCACAGTTCGAGTCCCAGACTTGGCGATTTGCTTTCTCACTTTCCCTCTCTCTCTTTCTCGGTCTGTCTCTGGTCAAATTTTAATATAATTAATAAAATTAAATAAGTGATTCTTTAAAAAGTAATAAAAAAGAAAGTTATATACTTTCAGGGGAGCTTTCCTTCCTTTATCAGTGTCTTTTCTAGCTTCTTAACTATATTTGACACTGAAATTTTTCTGACTCTCAAGTTCAGAAGGGTTTAATTTCTCATAAACATTCTTTTATTTACAGTGTACAAGGTAACTATAAAGTTTGTTGAAAGGGGCGAGCAGATATGGTGGTTAAGGTGCAGGACTTCCACACAGCTGGGACCTAGGGGCTTGGAAATCACACTAGGCACATGTGCCTAAAATCTCAAGAGGAGAATGGAAGATGGCCATCCCCGCAGGGGGTGATTTCTCACTTTCCTGCTCTCTGTCTCTCTTCAGCTAGCATAACACGCCCCATGGCAAAAACCTTAAAAAAAAAAAAAAAAAAAAAAGTTTGTGAAAAATAGAATTAAAGTACAAGTTTATTTCTGTATAAAGTTTTCAAGGGGGTCAGCAGGTGTCATGGTAGTTAAGGCACTGGACTGCCACATGGCCAACTAAGGGTTGAGTCCTGGATCTGGCAGTTTGAAAGTCACACTGCATGTGTGTGTATGCATGCCCAAAATCCCAAGAAGAGAAGAGAGTGACAGGGCCATCCCCCTGGGGGATGATTTCTCAGTTTCCCTCTCACTATCTCTCTAGTGAACACACACACCCTATGGCAAATAAATAAATAAATACATTTAAAATTTATTATAGTTTTTTTTTTTTTGATGATACTTAACCTTTCATAAGCTTTTCTAAGATCCTTCATGTTATCATCTCAATAAGTAGAGGCGGCCATGTTACCCTAAAAGCTAAGCAGATTCAAAGATAGGGCACAAGCCCTGTTCTTACGGAATGGATATCTTAATGGGGTTGAGGAGTAGAGATACGGCTTCTGAAAGAATAAGATTACAGAGACAAATTTATTAAGGAAGAGGCTATGGCGATGTACGTGCTGGAGGATGGAGAGAGAAGATGGTTTCGGATGGTGTAGTTAAAAAAGTACAGTGATTCCAAACTGAGACTGCAATTGGAGTTGTGAGTGAAAGTCCAAAAACAACGAGCTTTGCGAATGACTAGGTGCAGTTCACGGGGCTGGGAGGTGCATGCTCATACGTGTACAGATAGGCATGTGCAGGGTTAGGTACCGGATCACTGAAGGCATATCCCCAGTGCTTACCCCAGGTGCCCCCAAGGCTTCGGTAGGTAATCTGACAGCAGTTGTCATAAGACTAACACAGCAAATAACTCCCAGCTGTTTGAGCTGAGTACCCTACTGCCATCCATCCCGTCCTTCGCCCTTGGTAAAAGGAGACGTGAGGCTCTGTCCCTGAGCCCATAAAGAACTGGAGCCATCTCCGGTTTCCCGGGTGATGAAATGTTGTGAGTACCGTCTCTCACCCTTGTACTGTTTGCCTGAGTTTAGTGAGCTGTCATTTATTTTAGCTATTCTCGTTTCATGGTTATCATTTTGACATTCATTTAGTAAGCATTGAGTTGCCACCAAAAACTGGGCATCAAAGACAGGATTTATTAATCCATTTGGCAGAATACTTGAAATGGCCTTGCTTTGTACCAGGCACTGTGCTAGGTACTGAGTGTACCACGAGTGAGAAAAGAAACATGTCTGTGTACCCATGGAGTGTATGGTCTTTTGGGGACAGTGAAAATTAATAGACAAGCACAAATCAAAATAGTTTGTCATTATGATAGTGCTCTACATAACTGTATGCTAGAAAGTAGTAAAGCTTCTGGGACCAGCAGTTAGCGTAATGGCTAGGTTGCTGAACTCCCATGTAGTCAAATGTGGTTTGAGTCCCGGACCCAGCGGCTTAAACTCAACGCCGGGCACATGTGCATGCGTGCCCAAGATCCCAAGAACAGAATGGAGGAGAAGGGATTGCGGCGTGGCCATCCCCTCTGGGGGGTGATTTCTTGCTTTCTGTTTCTGTCTTTCTCTCTGTCTGGCGAGCGCACGCACCCTATAGCAAAAACCTCTCAAAAAAAAAAAAAAAAAAAAAAAAATTTTCCGGGGAG